AATTATGCTAACTATAAAGTAGATGAGTCTCCCACCAGGAGTCAACGGCAAAAAAATACTTTATTAGATGTTTGGACGGCTAAAACTACTCAACCCACCACTGGTACCACAGCTGACACTCATGAAGCTTCATGACACAACTCCTAGAAGCATCCCACAAGTTATCGACTAAGAGAAAATAGGTCATAAAAATTGGCGACTGGCAATATGGATATATTGTGGTGTGATTTGGTGTTTCTGTGCCCGGCGTACAGTGGCGCGCAATTTGAAGTAAGGAATTGTGACAATAATATGAATAATTTGAATAAAAAAACGAAAGTAAAATGTTTGATTCCAGCTCCTTTTAACGCTCATAACTCAGTCAAGACTGAGATTTCCATATATGAGCCCATAGACAATTTCGTTTGTAATGACATTCTATATAATATTTTCCATAAATCATCGACTGCCGCCAGAAAAAAGAAAGGCACCAATTTTAGTCAATGCCCTTTAGAGGATGATTTTCAAGTATGGGAGAGCCATGCTTCGGCACGAATGGGCCGGCTCGACTGGAGTGATACCACGGCCTCATAGAAAACCGACGTGAAGCAATGCTTGCGTTGTGTTTCGTCGTGTGAGTGAGGTTACCGGAGGCCTAATTACCCTCCCGACGCGGCGACGCCGATTGCTTACCATCAGGTGATCCGTCTGCTCGTTTACCGGCTTATGCCGTACAAAAAAACAATTTTCAATTTTGGGCAATTCTGGGATTGGGGTCATTGAGATGATATGATGATGATAACACTGCAGTCATTGGGGAAGGCCTAGGTATAATTAGCAGTAAACGTCTTGTGGCTTATTATGATAATGGTAATGAAGATGCTGTTTGCATTCTTATTTATGCACTTACATTAGACAAAGCGGTTGTACAATTTCTCAATTTACTGACAAGACATACCTTAAATATTGTATTTTATTAAAGTATTGTATTGTATGTCTTGTTGTTGTCTCGTCGGTTGAATGCTTAAAAGAGTAGTTGTTGAGCTAGAAATCTCCAGAAGTTTTTATTCTAAAACGATCGATCCTGTCAATGAAGGTTCTAAATGCGTAAAGTAGGATGGCGTTTGACCACTATGTCGCCTAGTGGTAAGCGATGATGCGGACTACGATGGAGTACAGCGTCCCAAAAGCAACCTATTCACTCGCGCCAAATAATATAATAAGGTTTTCAATATTATAAATTAATCTTATACTATTATATAATGCGGAAGAGTTTGTTTTTTTGTTTGTTTGTTTGAACGCGCTAATCTACGTAACTACAAGTCTGATTTGAATAATTATTTTTGTGTTGGGTAGCGCATTTATCGAGGATGGCTATAGGCTATAAAACATTACGCTACGACCAATAGGAGCTGAGCAGAGCGTGTGAAACCGCGCGGAAGTAGCTAGTATGGCAATAGACTCACTCTCTATGGGATAGGCCTATGAGACCTATAACACAACTAAATGTTGAAGAGTGTATAATATTAATATATGCAATATAGATGATGGCAGGGTATGAAAATTAAAAATCTATTTAGTCCGTCAGTTAGGTAATGAAAAAATATTACTTCTAGACACGTATTTTTTTATTTTTTCGTATCTTGTAATAAAATAATGCTTGGAATAAACGGAAGTTTAGTAGTAGGTGCTAAAACGTCATTTCTCCGTATAAAATGTACATAGAAGTGACGTCAAGCGACATTTCAGATCAATATATAGTAAAAGTATTTGTTTCTGTATGAAAATAAATAATTAGTGTATAATGTTTTAAAATAATGTATCAGACGGACATTAAAATAGAAGTTAGGCATTTACCCTATTCCGTCTACTCTTTAAAAGGCTTAAAATATATATTATATTGTTTATTTTTATGGAATTGGAGGAAAACAAGCAGACGGATCACCTGATGGTAAGCGAACATTGCCGCCCATGGGCACATATCTCTTTATACGGCGAAATAAAAGACTGCCTCGTTGGCCGAGTGATCGCAAGTGCGACTGCCGGGCAAGGGGTCTCGGGTTCGATTCCCGGGTCGGGCAAAGTATTACTGTGTTTTTAAAAATCTCAGTAGTAGCACGAAGTCTAGAAATGTGCCCGGTATATGGCAATAGGCTCCCTATTACATGGGACTCGTAACATAATAGTGAAAAGTAGGTTTTACATTTTACAGTGGCATTAAGTGCCGCAATGTGCACCTCTGCCTACACCTTCGGGGATAAAAAGGCGTGATGTTATGTTATTTTATCTAAAATTACACATTTTACTCTTCGTTAAGGTATTTACGACGAAGGACAAGCCTTAATGATTGACCGAAATCATTCGATAAAAATAATACCAAGATACTACAAGACGCGGCCGTTTTCGCAAAATCCTTATTTGTTTAATTGTAAACAACATTCGGGTGCTTATTGGTTTTATATAAAAGACGTGATCGTTTCGTTTTACGATATTTAGTTCACGACATGCTGTGGGTCACGACCGTCGTACTTTGGTGAGTCCATGTGCAAAGTTGTTTAATTAAAAACTTTTTGGCATATACCTCTATGTATGATTGAGATCAAAGATAGCCTTAAGAAAAAAAATTTCCTTCTAAAACAAAATGTTCTCCTTTTGAAGATAACTAAATAGTGTGCTTTTAATCAAAACTAAATTACTTCGACTGTTCAATACAATAAAAAATTTAAAAATAATCATACTTCTATTGATTGATTTTATGACTAACTTAATTTTAGTATGTTTCTAGCAATTGTTTTTTATTTTTTTTATTTATTACTCCTAATGCTATCTGTCTGACATTCACAGCATTACTTATGGTGGTCTGTTTAAGTGGCATGGGAGATATATGTCCAACGACATACTCTCATAATTTATTGTTTAGAGTAGGTCCTGTGGTACTCGAAATTTTAGTCTGCGAACTCCTGGGAATATGTTTCCATCCATAAGATGTTGCGCGAGTATGGCAATTTTTTAAGAAATAAATATGCTGTTTGACGCTAAAAAAACGTGACGTCACAATACACAATCTCGTACAAAATTCATAGAAAACTGTCGTTGTTGACAGTTCGAAAAAGTATTGACTTTTATACGACATCCGTTATCAATCAATAAAAAACAGAAAAAAAAACAAAATATTTATGAAGAAATGAAAAAGCAAAAACGCTATTGGCTCTTTTACTTCGATCCCAAGTGTAGTTAAGGCGTCAAGGTTATTTTGTAGGGGCGATTATATTATGATTTACTGCCTAGTCTGTCTAGTAGCACGGAGTCTAAATTGTTCCCGGTATATGGCAATAGGCTCACCCACAACATAACATAAATAGTGAAAAGTGGGTGGGAAAAATCATGGAATGACTTCTCCCACCGGGGTGAGGCGGGAGGGAGTGTCAGACTCTTACTAACTAAAAACCACCCCGTTCCTACTCCTGCACTACGAGCCGGAACCCTAGGAACCTTTTACATTCTCCGCGGGTCCGTATAGGCATCAACCGAATTGAGCCTCATCCGTGGTGGTCCAATGGATCTTTGGAGCACGCACGGAACACGACGCGCCGTACTCTCGGGTCTGTGGGCTTACTCTTGAATCCAATTCCGATAGATCGACATTGATATTGTGAAATTTCGTACTCTTGAGTTTCGACACCAGCGCCCATTGCATCCGTATTGCGTGGGTATTTAATGAACTAAATGGTATTGAGTTTGGCTGTATATTCCGTACTCTGAATGCTATTTTAACAGCTACAATAGGGGTTCTAAAGTTTCGACATTGAATCATTATCGAGTTTTCATTGGATTGCAATTGCATTGGAATTGAGATTGGTTTCAAGAGTAAGCACCCTGGTCGGTTCTGGTCGTAAATACCAAAGTAAATTAACCAAGTGATTATCGGTCAATAACTTAAGAAAAAACTTATACTTATTTTACCTGTGATTTAAAAAAAAACTTGCATACAAACCACAATCCTTTGTTTTGCTAATTACATAAAAAAAATAACAGCACCGTAATCTTTGTAAGTATTATTTTCTTAATCTTTTTACAAAGGTCGTGAGGATTATTTATTTTTTATTAGACTCCTTTTTATGATGTGTCGTCTTATTATATTTTTGTAACAACTCGTCTTAATAACTTTACTTAAATATTTTTTAATAATCACTTTATAAAAGCAGTTTCTAATCTTAATAATAAATATTAAGCAACGAAAACAAAATATTTATCTATTCTGACTGTGTGAAGAAGCATGAAAGCAGGATTAATGCGGTGGAAATGAGAGCCCTAAGAAGTATGTGTGGACTAAAATTGAGTGATCGAGTGAAAAATAGTGTTATTAGAGAAAGGTGTGGATTGAAAGATGATGTAGTGACAAGGATTGAAAAGGGAATGTTACGCTGGTTTGGACATGTAGAAAGGATGGATGAAAGTAGAGTAACGAAAGAAGTATACAGAGCGGATATGAATGGGGCCGTCGGTAGAGGGCGCCCTAGACGGACATATAGTGACCAGATTGGCGATATATTAAAGAAGGGCCAAATTAAAAGTACCCTTAACCGACGAGCATGCATGAAAAGATTGATGACTGTTAATGAAACGAAAGAGGTATGTAAGAATCGTAGTAATTGGCGTTCCTTAGTCTCTGCCTACCCCCATGGGAGACAGGCGTGAAGTTATGTCTGACTGTGTGTATCGTTTCGTAGTGAGTTCGAAGCCTACCAACGACATGTACCAATATGAGTTTTTCCAAGTTAAATACACTTTCTAAGATTATTTAAACACCTCTGACAAACGATGAAAGCAAACATCGTGAGGAAATCTGGATTTGTAAGTTCTAATTACAAGTTTGAAATCGCCAACCCGCATTGGGCAAGTGTGGTGATTAATGCTCGACCCTACTCCGCATGAGAAGAGGCATTTAGTCAGCAGTGGCGACTGGCGACTAATAGGCTGTTGATGATGATGATGATGATTCTGTACTGTACCTACACGTCACAAAATAATAATTGCTTTCGTACCTAACTTTGTAAAGATTACACTAATCCTAATCTAATAATCTATTTTTTATCACATTACATAGATATATAAACATCATAGATATACCTAATGCATGAACTATTTCTTATCATAGATCACGTAAACGGATTTATGTTTTTTTATATGTTCGTTAAACATTTGATAAGAATTTAACAGCTAACGTTAATTTCAAGTGATAATTAGTTATTGCTGTCATGAATCATAATATAGAATAGTTATTCGCAAAACAATCACAACAAGGAAAACTGTATCAAAGCAACTACTCTAATTCCGTATTTTTTTATTAGTTTCTTCCAAAAATAAAAATATTTCAATTAAACTTCCTACGCATAACCGGAGCTCCGGCTCGACGTGCAGGAGAAGGAACGGGGTGGTTTTTAGTCAGTAAGAGTCTGACACTCCCTCCCGCCTCACCCAGGCGAGAGCAGTCATTAGATGATATTCCCCACTTAAAAAAAAAATGTTACTAAGTCTACATAGATGGTATGCCCTCGTCTATTATGTATTTCTTTCTTGTCGTTTGTTAGTCGTAATTGACTAAAAGACTGCACGGTTGGTGCGGTGGCTGGGCAACCAGCTGCCGTGCAACGTGTCGCGGGTTCGATTCCCACATGGAACAACACTTTGTGTGATCCATAAATTGTTGTTTTGGGTCTGGGTGTCATGTATATGTGACCCTGTATGTTTGTAAATGCACCAACGACACAGGAGATAAGCCTAGTGTGGGGCAGCGTTTTTTTTAAAACAAAAAAAAATGCGACATTGTACCAGGTATTTGTTTAGTTTCAAATAGTAAGTTTTAAGTTTATTTCTCTCACACGTAAATGCAAGTTTTAAGTGTGTTTCGTCGTGTGCGTGAGATTACCAGAGACCCAATTGCCCCCTTCCCCAATCACCTCAATTCCCGAATCCCCAATAATCATCAAATTCCTAATCCCCAAAAGGCCGCTAACACACTTCTAACACTTCTGGCGTTTCGGGTGTCCATGGGCATATTCCATAAAAAATATAATTATGTATATATTTTAATTGCTTTTTTTTAATCGTAGACTCGCTAACAATGAGACATCTTCGTAACATCTACACATGTGGCACATAGGAATTAATTATGACGGATGACATAAGCACAAAATAGTGGCAATTTTCGGAACATTTAGGAATGAATTATGACGGATGACATAAGCAAAAAAGCGTGGCAATTTTCGAAACATTTTAATTTAGTGGGCACAAAGACGATTTTTTTATGTAATAAGTCGGTAAACGAGCAGACGGATCACCTAATGGTAAGCAATCGGCGTCGCCCGTGGACACCAGAAACATCAAGGCGTTACAAGTGCGTAACCAGCCTTTTGAGAATTAGAAATTTGAGGATTATTGGGGATTCGGAGATTGGGAGATTTGGAAGGGTGGGTAATTGGGTCTCCAGTAACCTCACGCACACGACGAATCTCAACGGCAATTATTGTTTCACGTCGGTTATCTGTTAGGCCGTGGTATCACTGCAGTCAAGCCGGCCCTTTCCTGCCGAAGCATGGCCCTCCCACAACTTAGAGATATCTTAAAGTTAACTCCTCCTTTTTCTTTAGGGCTTCAGTGAGCCATGTGTATGGCTACAGCAAGCAGTTCCCTCCAGGATTCAAGTTCGGAGCCGCCACTGCTGCATACCAGGTAGAAGGAGCTTATAATGTCAGTGGTACGTAATCTTCTGTCGTCTCCTATGACCAATTCTTTAGTGGATGTTATTTCCATTTCAGACAAATAGGGTGAATGATTTTTTTTTATTGGCTAAGCCGGTAAATTAGCAGACAAATCACCGGATGGTAAGCAATCAGCATCGCCCATGTACACCTGGAACACCAGAGGCGTTACATGTGTGTTACTGGACTTTTGGGGATTATGAATTTGACGATTATTGGAGATTCAGGGATTAGGGAGATTGGAGAAGGGGGGTGGGTGTAAGCTTTGTTCTCCCACACTTTTTAAATTAGTAGTAAATTAGCTCCTTAACCACTAGTAAATTGACGTTCGGTAGTGTTTAATACCCGTTTTTTGGTACCTTCAATGTACTCATTATTGGGGGTTGATCAACAATAATCACGGCTAGTCAACAGGGTAAAGATCTAGCAGCTTCGGTAGTCACTGCATCTAAATACTGACATTTGTCTAAGTCCAAATAAAAACTAACTGAGACACTCATGTTGTTTAAAAAAGTCCGGATAAAGAAAAGGAAGACTATTCAGTAAACCTCGATAATGCTTACACTAGTAAAGTATTAACCAACATTAAAAAAACGTACTATATTTCAGATAAAGGAGAATGCAAATGGGACCGCCTGACCCACAGATACCCTGAACTGTTCACCAACCATGACAACGGTGATAATGCCTGCAAGTCCTATTATTATTGGAGGAGAGACATTGAGATGGCTGCTGAGTTAGGCCTTCAGTTCTACAGGTAACGTCTTGTAAATCTTACTAATATTATTATAAACTAGCTAGCCAGCGACTTCGTTCGTGTGGAATAGTGTTCCACAGCTCCTCCCCCCTTGGTGATAGCGTGATAATATGTAGCCTATATGTTAACTCGACCTGTGAGTAATATTTATGCACAATTTGAAATAAATCCATGCGGTACTTTTTGAGTTTAGCCCGGACATACATACAGACAAACAGACAAAAATCTATAAACCATATTTTTAGCTTCGGTGCCGTTTGTAGATCACAACCCAAGCATTCTTTTAAAAAAATAATCAATGTACAGTTTGCACTTTGCGAATCAGAAGATGCGAAAGTTTGTATGTAAGTTGTTATTCGGTCACGTCAAAGTGGTTGAAGGGATTGGGATGAATTTGAACAGACATACATTATGGTTTGGAATAACACGCAGGCTACTTTTATTTCGACGGAAAGCGAATTGAAAATATAGGACACTTACGGAATTCGAAGACGATATATACATAGAGATAAGATGTTAGATTTTAATAAAGAACACAGTTTTGTTTACTGAAAAATGTGTTTTTTAATGATTAAAAAGGAACTCAAAACAAAAACTTCTAACAAGCGTCCTACAACCAAAGAGGAGATTAGACATGAGCAGGGTTGCCATATTTTTCTTATAATAAAATACAATATTCAATTACATTGCCATATATTAATAATACATACATACATAAATAACTTCACGCCCGTCCATGGGGATAGGCAAAGACTATGGAACACCAATTCCTACCATTCCCACATACCTCAATAAAGACGACGACAATAAAGATAACATTATAACTCTAAATATGTTCTTGGACAGTCGCGGAGAACCTAACGGGTAACCGGGGCTCCGACTCGACGTGCAGGGGAAGGAACGGGGTGGTTTTTAGTCAGTAAGAGTCTGACACACCCTCCCGCCTCACCCAGGCGGGAGCAGACATTCGATGATTTTCCCCCCCAAAAAAAAAAATCGGTTCTTGGACAGCAAATTAAACGAGTCGCTGAAAAAAGGGTTTTTTTTATAATGAACTCTCATTCTAGATTCTCCATATCCTGGCCTCGTCTCTTACCAACTGGTCTCCCGAACGAGATCAGTGATGATGGCAAGAACTACTACAACAACCTGATCGATGGTTTGTTGGAGAGGGGAATCGAACCGATTGTCAGTATCTACCATTGGGAAATGCCACAACTGCTGCAAGATCTGGGTAAGTACTTTGATCACAGGAGATGGTTCAATGTTATATATGAGAAACTATTTATGTGAATTAAATTATATTGGAACTGCTATGAAATCTATACAAAATGGAATGGAGGTCTCTAATTTCTTATGTCAACAATGATTTTGTGAGGTAACCTACACTATAAATTGTATCCAAAACGAAAGAAACCAAATGAGATCTTCCTCATGCCGAACATTTCTTCACCTTATTCGAGATCTCAGCCAGTGTTTTTGGCATTACACATATTCATCATGACTAAAGTTCCTATTCCCAAACAAAATGTCCAACTATAGTTTACCTTTCTTTCAGGTGGATGGGCGAACCCCAAAATATCTGACTGGTTCGCTGACTACGCGAGGGTGGTGTTCACTCTCTTCGGGGACCGTGTGAAGATCTGGCTGACTATCAATGAACCTATCGTGGAGTGCGACTGGTACTACGGTCAAGGCATCCTAGCTCCACAACTGGACTACTACGTGGGACCCTATATGTGCAATAAGAATCTCTTATTGTCCCACGCGAAGGCCTACAGAGTTTACGATCGTGAGTTCCGTCATAAGTACCATGGTAAGTAAATGTTTCAAAATGTTAATAATTATCAGAAACTCTTAAAGTCTACTACTGTAACTAGATGCTATTCATCAAGACAATTACAATGAGTCCAAACACAATGCCTCTGCTATAAGTCATTGAAGAGCTGATCGCCTTTGAAATGATTCTGCAGCATCAGGTTTAGATTACGAATGTTACGATGTAAGCAATATTGTCAAAGTTAATCAAAATAAGAGGATACGAATCGCACAAACCTAAAGAACTTCTCTTTAAACAGATGTAAAGATTTTCATGAATCATGGGACCAGAGTTGTAATTAAATTTGTTTATAATGATTCTAGGAAAACTCTCTATTGTAAACCACCTGCTATGGCTGAAGCCTTACTCTTCTGAATATGAAGAAGACGCAGAAATCGCAAGACAGTTCCTTGTAAGTATAACATCGTCATTAGACTGATGATGATCTAAAGCTTTGTGGTAAATCAACAAATTGATACTTATTATTTTATCTCTATTCAGACTGGTCGCTACGCTCATGCCATATATTCCAAGAAGGGAGGATGGCCATCAGTGGTGGAAAAAACGGTTGCAAAGGTTAGCAAAGAACAAGGGTTTAGAGAATCGAGGCTGCCACCTTTTACTAAAGAGGAAATTGAATTGGTCAGAGGTAAGAGTCATCTGAAAACTGGCAATGTCTGACATTGCTAATCAGCCCTGAGTACGAGTAAAAAAAGAATTAATTACAACTAGACTATGAACTGGAGGTGATGATGAATGAAATACTTGACGTTTAGCCACCATCTCACCGCTGCTCTCGATGTTAATGATCATATCATTGATCAGCTGTCTTTGCATTGTTCTTACATATGCGTACAGTATTGATATATGTATCAGAGACATTGTAGAACATACTTTATTAAAAGAGTAACGAATGGAGTTTCTTGCTCGTTCTTCTCCATTCGAATCTACGTTTTGGAATGAGCACCTAGCTTCACCTAGGTTCACTGACGGACTGACTGACAGACTATTATTTATTTTGTATTTGTTGACGTTTCAAAAGTACCAAACTATGGTTTAATTGAAATAAATGCTTTGACTTTGACTTTGACTTTATCATATCGCCAACAGCCATAATCAATACATTTTTGTAATATTTTACTTCTTTCCTAGGAACCTATGACTTTTTCGCCATGAACCACTACACCTCCCGTTTGGTGAGGACTGCAGAGCCCGATGAAGACGTCGTGGAGTCTCTCTTCACATACATCCCTGATGCTGATCTGGTGCTGGAGAATGACCCCACCTGGACTTATGGTTACAGTGAGACTATGCCGGTAAGTCGTCGTAGGTCGTTTTTAAAAGTATAATTATAGTTTTAGGTTTGATTGTATCACATAAGGCTAGATTTTAGGTTTGGGTTGATTTAAACTGTCAAACACTAAGCGGTCACCGGTGACCGCAACCTATTGTTCTATAATTGTGTCTACAAAACCGGTACTCGACGAGTTAATGGCATCCTGATTTAAGTAAATACAATAATTATTTGATTGATTTTGTATTGTCCTGTCTGTATGCATTTGTTTTTTTATGACATAAGCCTTTTAACGAGCAGACGAATCACCTGATGGCAAGCAATAGGTGCTGCCCATGGACACCTGAAAAACCAAAACATTACAAGTGTATTACCGGCCTTTTGGGAATTGGGATTTTGAGGATTGTGGAGGATTCGGGGATTGGAGAGACTGGGGAGGCGGGGTGATTGGGCCTCCGGTAACCCCACTCACACGACGAAACACAACGCAAGCGTTGTTTCACGTCGGTTTTCAGTGAGGCCGTGGTATCAGTCCGGTCGAGTCGGCCCATACGTGTCATTTGTGTACCTGTGACTTACTGTAATGATATAATGTCTACTTATATTAGTTTTTAAGTTAAATGTTACTACCAAGAGTCCGGACATGGTCTGAGATTATTATATTACCAGTCTCCTAAAAGAGTAGCTCCTCTAAGACAAGCAGAGTGGAATTTGCTTCAAACTACCTTAATACTCATATGTCGGAATACTCAAACGCTACTCAATTTTAAGTCGCGCTTAAGAATAGTTCTGTCTTTACAATTTTTTTGTGAAATGACAGAGATGGCACGATATTTAAGCACTATATTGCCGGAATACTGAAACGTTCTCATTTTCTCTTCTCTCTGTTCTCAACATCTCTGTCATTTTACTAAGAATTTGTAGAGACAGAACTATACTTAAGCGAGACTTAAAATTGAGTAACGTTTCAGTATTCGGGCAATATTCTGGTTTTTAAACAAAAACTCATTCTATTTTAAGAATCAAAATAACAAAAAGCAGTGGTGAGACTACGACCTAATAAACTATTTGCGTAAGAATATACCAAATACACAGACAGTATAGTTATCTAAATAACATAACATAACATCACGCCTTTTATCCTCGAAGGGGTACGCAGAGGTGCACGTAATGCCACTGTACAATGTAACACCCACTTTTCACTATTTATGTTATGAGTCCCATGTAATAGGGGGTGAGCCTATTGCCATATACTGGGCACAGTTCAGACTCCGTGCTACTACTGAGAATTTTTTAAAAACCCAGTAGTTCTTTGCCCTTGTTGGAAATCGAAACCGAGCCTCATTGTCCGGCAGCCGCACTTGCGACCACTCTATCTAAAACTTTTCTAATATTTTTTATATGGGAAAGTAACAGCATCTATTCTTTCCAGATATACCCTCCAGGCATAAGGGAACAAATGGAATGGGTGAGGAAGCATTATGGAGACGTAGACATCTTCATCACAGAAAATGGCTACTCCACAGGAGGATCCAACCTGGATGACGATGCTAGAATCTCATACATCAGATCGTATTTAGAAGAGGTACTGAAACAGTAATAGAAAAGTTACATTTTTAGAATAGGGTAGATGACTAATTTCTATTGTAATGTCCGTCTGGTAGATTATTTTAAAATATTAGAGACATATTTTTTATTTTTTTACAGAAACGAATACTTTCAACGATATATTGATTTGAAATGTCGCGTGACGTCACTATGTACATTTTATACGTAGAAATGACGTTTTAGCCCCCACTCCTAAACTTTAATTCGTTTTATCTCAGTGTCATTTTATTATACGACAAAATAAAAAAATACGTGTCTAATATTTTTTTCATTACCTGGGGTTAATAATAAATATTAACCAACGAAAAACAAAATATTTATCTATTCTGTACTGTGTGTATCGTTGCGTGGTCCGAAAGTAAAGACGCGCGCTTCTCATTTATGCGGTTCGAAACCTACCATCGACAAGTACCAATGTCAATCCGAACTATATGTACTTTCTAAGATTATTTAGACACCACTGATCGTGAGGAAATCTGGACTTGTAATTTCTAATTATAAGTTTGAAATCGTTAACCCGCATTGAGCAAGCGTGGTGATTAGTGCTCAAACCTTTTCCGTATGAGAAGAGGCTTTGCTCAGCAGTGGGCTCTTATAGACTGTTGATGATGATGATGAACCCGTGATTTTGTATAATAACTCTCGTACGGCATAAAACAGCTTACTTATGTGCATTATTCGATGACGTCTATATAAGCTGCAGTGCTATTCTCTAAGGATTTTTTTTTAAGGGGGGAAAATCATCGAATAGCTGCTCCCGCCTGGGTGAGGCGGGAGGGAGTGTCAGACTCTTACTGACTAAAAACCACCCCGTTCCTTCTCCTGCACGTCGAGCCGGAGCCCCGGTTACCCGTTAGGTTCTCCGCGACATTCTCTAAGGATACAGCGTTGCCTGCAGCGTTCCGGTAGCGACGAAATTATCGTTTGGTATTCTATAAGCTGACATACGGTACACTAGCGCTCAAGGCTGTGACGACTGTGAGTTGAAACTCGGTTCATGAATGAAGTCGCAGCTGAAATGAATAGTTCTAATTTCGAATCAATAGTATAAAACAAAGTCGCTGTCCGCCGTCTATCTGTCCCTATGTATGCTTAGATCTTTAAAACTACGCAACGGATTTTGATGCAGTTTTTTTTAATACATAGAGTGATTCTTAAGGAACGTTTATATCTTATACTATTATATAAAGCGGAAGAGTTTGTTTTTTGTTTGTTTGTTTGAAGGCGCTAATCTCCGTAACTACGAGTTTGATTTGAATAATTCCTTTTGTGTTAGATAGCCCATTTATCGAAGATGGCTATAGGCTATAAAATATCACGCTACCACCAATAAGAGCTTAGCAGAGCGTGTATAACCGCGCGGAAGTAGCTAGTGTATAATATATGCATACTGCACCCGTGCGAAGCCGGGGCGGGTCGCTAGTACTTCATATGAATAAGCCGTATATTTCAATTGATTCGTGAACGAGCAATTATCTACACCAAACGACTGATACATTTTATTTTTAAAGCTATCCAAATATTTAAGACATTACATATAATCACGCCTTTATCCCGAAGGGAGCACATTACGGCACTTAATGGCACAGTACAATGTAGCACACTTTTCACCATTTACATTACGAGTCCAATGTAATAGGGGGTGAACCTATTGCCATGCACCAGGCACAATTCCCGACGCCGTGCTACCACAGAGAATTTAAACAAAAACCCATTCATAGTTTGCCCGACCTGGGAATCGAACCCGAGACCCCTTGGGCGAGACACACTTACGACCATTCGGCCAACGAGGCAGAGGCTGAATATTTAAGAGTGTCGTAATTGAAATATTGGGTGGCTGTCGAGGGCTCTCTCGGCGAACCTATCAGATTCGTTTGATTTTAAGAAGGCATAATATTATAAATTATTCTTCAATCTCTGACCAGGTCCTTTTGGCTATTCAAGAAGGTATCAACGTGATTGGATACACCTACTGGTCTCTGATGGATAACTTCGAGTGGACCGGTGGTTACGGGTATGTAGTTTTATAATTGTTATCTAACCCAAATTATTTAGATTTCCGCCTATGGTTTCATTTGCGGCTTAAATGGAAAATATTACATCATGCCTTTTATCCCCGAGGTGCACATTATGGCCACTTAATGCCACTGTACAATGTAACACCCACTTTTCACTATTTATGTTATGAGTTCCATGTAATAGGGAGTGAACCTATTGCCATATACCGGGCAAAATTCCAGACTCCGTGCTGTTGATTTTTCTTTAAACCCAGTCATGCTTTGCCCTACCCGAGAATCTAACCCGAGACCCTTTGCCCGGCAGTCGCACTTGCGATCACCCGGTAAACAAGGCAGCTATTTTATTGAATAGTGATCTTAAAATTTATTTTTTCAGAACCAAATTCGGATTATATGAAGTGGACTTCTCAGATCCGCATCGCAAACGTACAGCGCGGAAATCTGCCCGATACTATGCAGACCTCATCAGCAACAGATCTTTGTACATTCCACCAGCATGCCAAAGTAATAGTTTTAAATAAATGATATATTTATATTATATTCAAATGTGTGTTTTATTACATCACGATGACAATACCTCGTTGGTGAAGCTGAGAGGTCACAACTGATGATCATATTTATGATGTATTGCAGATTTGTGTATAAGGGTGATTTCTGTTCTGTGCCTGTAGCCAGACACCACTTTAGCGCTTGCCTACAAAGAGAGTAGAAAACTAAATGTATGGGGATGACACTGACAAGTGTCAAAATTTTTATACGGAATTGACGTTCCGTATAATTTGGTTTTCTATTCTACATGTAGACAAGCGCTAAATGGCATTTAGCTACAGCTGTAGTACTGTCTACTACAAGCAGACCGTCACCATCATCAACAACAGCCTATAAGTGCTCACTGCTGAACAAAGACCTCTCGTCTCTCTATAATGGACATAACATAACATCACGCCTTTTAATCTTCGAAGAGGTGGGCAGAGGTGCACATTACGGCACTTAATGCCACTGCACAATATGACACCCACTTTTCACTATTTATGTTATGAGTCCCATGTAATAGGGGGTGAGCCTATTGCCATATACCGGGCACAATTCCAGATTCCGTGCTACTACTGAGATTTTTTTAAAAAAAACCCAGTAATACTTTACCCGACCCGGGAATCGAACCCGAGACCCTTTGCCCGGCACTCCCACTTGCGACCACTCGGCCAACGAGGCAGTCTTGTAAGTAATAATTTTATATAATGATAGATTATATTTTGTTAAAAGTTATCATAGGGTTGGCATATCAAAGATAAAAACCTATAGTAATAAAAAACAGAGTTAAAAAAAGACATATACGCTAGTGGCTTCGTTTCATTGCTCCCAAGAGAATTTTACAGTAGAAACAGCAATACTACAACTGCTGTAAGCCACGGGAGATATTATGGACTAATTAAAATAATCTCTTAAGTAAGAGTTACCTAACAAGTGATATAAAATGCACGTAAAATAAACAAAAGACTTTATTAGCATTCATAAATTGCTGTTAAGATAATAAAGTACAATACATTTCTGTATGTAATCGCGGAGCAGTAAGTTGTGAAGTAAAGGTTAATTTTACTTTTTTATAATTATAATATTTTTTACAATTATTTATGTGTTGACGATTCTCTAAAAGTGCTATTGTGTAAATGGTAAGATTATGTTAAATGATTTTATTTTATTGCTATTTAGGGTCTCAGGTTCGATTCCCGGGTTCAAAACGACGAAACACCCGTATGGAATCGTGCCCGGTATATCGCAATAGGCTTAACCCTATTACATGGGACTCATATCATTCATAGTGAAAAGTGGGTGTTACATTGTACAGGGGCACTTTAATGCGGTAATGTGCACCTCTGCCTATCCCTTCGGGGATAAACAGCGTGATGTTATATTATGTTATAATGTCGGTATTATTTTTTGGTACCTAAGTGGTAGGAGGTTAAAGGCCTACTTCACAATGCCCGCCAGATTCAATTTTGTTTTAAAGAGCAATCGCTTTCTTGCTCTTACTTCTCTATTTTATGAACCTCACTGTCATGTCTAAATTGAAAATTCGTAGGTAAAAAAAAGTTATATTTTTAAAACCATTCCACATTACAATATTTCACTTAGTAGTTCTTAATACTTCAGATTCTGTTGACGGACTAAGGAGTCATCTGCAATCCTGACAATGATCTGGAAGCATGCAGTTGTGTTGAGGTAAGTGGTTCATTATTTTACAATAACTAGCTTTCGACCCAAAGTATTACCAGCGTTTAAAAAACATACATTAAACCAAAAAGGAAAAAGCAAAATATAACTACTTATTAAGTGTGGCCAAGCCATGCTTCGGCACGAATGTGTCGGCTCGACCGGAGTGATACCACGGCCTTACAGAAAACTGACGTGAAACAACGTTTGCGTTGTATTTTGTCGCTTTAGTGAGGTTATAAGAGTCCCAATTACCCCCCCCCCCTTCTCCAGTCTCCTCAATCCCCGGATCCCCAATCCTCAAATACCCAATTCCCAAAAGGCCAGTAACGCACTAGTAACGCCTCTGGTGTTCCAGGTGTCCATGTGCGACGCCGATTGCTTACCATCAGGTGATCCGTCTGCTCGCAAAACCGGTTTATCCCATAAAAATAATGTGTTTCACCCACCCACTGATTGGTTAGAATGTGTGCCATAGTAATCGAATAATAAATACATTCAAGAAAAATATTCAAATAACATCTCCCTTTTTTGACGTCGGTAAAAATGAAGTCTACCATAACAAATCGCTGTGTTGCGACACGTGAAAGAAAGTCTAATATTTCCTAAAATTATTTTTTTAAGGGGGAACAATCATCGTATGACTTCTCCCGTCTGGGTAAGGCGGGAGGGAGTGTCAGACTCTTACTGACTAAAAACCACCCCGTTCTTACTCCTGCACTTCGAGCCGGAGCCCCGGTAACCCGTTAGGTTCTCCACGACTCCGTATCGGCATTAGCCCTATTGGGCCCCATCCGTGGTGGTCTGATGGCTCTTTGAGGCGCGCGCGGAACGCGACGGTCTGGTTCTGGTCGGGCGGCGAGCCACCTATGCTCGCCTTCCGCAGGCATAGTTAACTGTTGCCTGCGACTTCGTCCGCGTAGAATCTTATTCCTGTTTTATCCCATGGGAGCATTTAATAGGGATGAAAAAGCTTATCACCTAAGTCAGCCCAAACCCTGCCTGTATACCAAATTTCATCAAAATCCGTTCAGTAGTTTAAACAAAGAAACTTTCATGTTTATAATAGTAGTGTAATTGATGCAAAGTAAAATTCTAGCTCTAATTATGTTTAAAACGTTTACAACTGACAATGAAATTATACACTAAATGTCTTAACAAATTGTTTTCTCCACGATAACAAAAAATCTTTATTACCATAATCTTACACATTTCCATATTATATTTGTCATAATATTGTAATTATATCATTATCTAAGTACCTACCACTAAATTCCCTGTAGAGACCACAAGCTAAGATGTAGAATGCCTGCGTGGAAGTCGCCACAGTATCCTGACTGCTACAGCCGGTAGACATGACTGTCCATTGCTGTGGAAATTAGTGCAGCGGACTAAGTCCCTGTTTACTATTGCTTATTCATATTTTACCTAAATAGTTATGTATGATTTTGTTCTTCCTTTATTATTAGTTAGATGGATCTCAGTTATCTGAATAAATAAACTATTAACTATAAGATACGTACGAGTATAAGGTCCTTACCGGATATGGAAGTTTCGGAAGGTACCTGTGTTTGATGGGGCGGGAGGAAACGCCCGTGTGTCATCACTGCGAGGACAGCCCTGAGGACACGGTGGAACACACTGTAGCGGAATGCCCTGCGTGGGCTGAGCACCGCCGTGCCCTAAGGGAAGTGATCGGCGATGGCGACCTCTCGCGTCTGGGCCTAGTGCAGGTCATGATGCGGAGCGAGGGGGACCGGTATGCCGTCTCCTCCTTTTGCAAAGCCGTTATGCTAGCTAAGGAGAAGGCGGGACGCGTGATGCAGCGAAGCGCTGCCTCCTCGCAACCCAGCCATCGCGAAGGACACACCGGGCGTTGGGGATCGCGGGACGATCACCGGCCACCGTAAGGACGCGGTCGCGGACGGCGAGCATGGGTGGCTCCCCGTCCGACCAGAAACAGACCCGAGCGTACGGCGCGTCGCGTTCCACGCGCGCCTCAAGGAGCCATCAGACCACCACGGATGGGGCCCAACAGGGCTGATGCCGATTCGGAGTCGCGGAGAACCTAACGGGTTACCGGGACTACGGCTCGACGTGCAGGAGAAGGAACGAGGTGGTTTTTAGTTAGTAAGAGTCTGACATTCCCTCCCGCCTCTCCCAGGCGGGAGTAGTCATTCGATGATTGTCCACCCTTAAAAAAAACTTATAAAAAACACTTTTCTGTAAACCGTATATAAATCGGTTCAGCCAATAGCAAGATAATTGCGCAAAAACATACATATATACAAGTCAACCAGAGAACTTCCTTTTTACTTTTTGAAGTCGGTTAATAATATATTTTCTATTTCTTGACCAGTACGATATTAGCAGTATCATCGTCTACTATACTGCCATTTCCACCTGGATTCAAATTCGGGGCAGCCACTGCAGCATACCAAGTCGAAGGAGGTTGGAATCTTGATGGTAAGAACTTGATCAAAAGCTAAAGATAATTTTTTATTGAATCAATCAGTAAATCCTTCAAATCTATACATATAAATAAAATTTAAGTGTCTGTAATATTAAAATAACCACTTGCATGCATATGAATGAAAAATATACATACGATACACATACCAAAATAACATTTTTTACTATTTTCATCCATCTGTTTGTCGGTCGGTCTGTCCGTCTGACTGTCTGTCTGTTTGTACTGCCTAATCTCTGGAATGGCTGGACCGATATTCACTTTTATTGGCAGGTAGCTGATGTACTAAGGAGTAACATAGGCTACTTTTATTTTGGAAAATTGAGAAAAATACTATATTCTAAAATTATGTATTTTAGAACGAATAGAATGTATGTTATAAAAGGATTTTAGAACATACGTTCTACGCGTACAAAGTCGCAGGCAAAAGCTAGTCTGATTATAAACCCATTATCTCATTCATCATCATATCACAAGACGTTCACTACTAAACCAAAGCATAGGCATTCTCCAAAGACTTCCAAAGAAGTCAGTTGGAAGCAGCCTGCATCCGGTATCCTGTAGTCTTAATAGGTCATCTGCCATGTTGTCTCAGTCAGCTTGGTTCAACCAGCGCTCACTACTCCACTTATTTTCAGGAAAGTCCGAAAACATATGGGACCGCTTCGTACATGAACACCCAGAGAGGATCGATGATAGAAGCACTGGAGATGTTGCCTGCGACTCCTACCACAATTGGAGGAGAGACCTCGAGATGGCTGAGGAACTGCGTCTAGATTTTTATAGGTACGTACAGGTATCAAAATTATAAGACTATGTTTATCCACTATTGGTCATGAGCTTCTCCAATAGCATGCCACTGAGTTTGAACTCTTCACATTCAACTACTGCCAACTGCATTGGACAATGAACAAAAACAATTGCTTTGTGTTTAAATGGCAGTCACAAAAGTTCCACAGAATTCGTTCACGCGCTCAGCGATTTTAGTCACTCGTGGACAACGACCAAAACAATGTTTTGTTACTCTTAAAAAGTCGGCCTACTCACAATCCAGAATTTACAGTATACATCCTTTCTGTATTTTCAGGTTCTCCTTATCCTGGTCCCGCATACTCCCGTCTGGTTTCCCCAACCACATCAACGAGGCTGCCATAGAGTACTACAACAACGTGATCGACGGAATCCTCGAGAAAGGGATCGAACCACTCGTCACAATACACCACTTTGATCTGCCGCAATCTCTCCAGGACCTTGGTAAGACCTATATCCTGTACAAAATGTTATAGCTTCGGTAGAGTTAACCTCAAATAAGTTTACAGTTCTTCTTCACAATTTTGTTTATAAACTTCAAAGGCACAGGTCTATTAGACATATTTTTGTGGAGTTAGCCGGTAAACGAGCAGACAGATCACCTGATACCCAAAACGATACGCACCTAACGCAGTTGTAACCCGCCCTGAGGACACGGTGGAACACACTGTAGCGGAATGCCCTGCGTGGGCTGAGCACCGCCGTGCCCTCAGAGAAGTGATCGGCGATGGCGACCTCTCGCGTCCGGGCCTAGTGCAGGCCATGATGCGGAGCAAGGGGGACTGGGATGCCGTCTCCTCCTTTTGCGAAGCAGTCATGATTTTCCCCCCTTAAGAAAAAAAAAACGCAGTTGTAACACCTCTGGTAGGTGTTACATGTGCGTTACCTGTCTTTTGCGGATTAGGAATTTGAGAATTGATGGGGATTGAGAAGATTGGGGAAGGAGTTAATTTGGCCTCCGGTAACCTCACTCACACGACGAAACACAACGCAAGCGTTGTTTGACGTCGGTTTTCTGTGAGGCCGTGGCCGCTTATAAGTAATAGCGAATTCTATTCTATCACATATCCTACTGTAGGAAGTTCTTTATTATTATATCATATGTGCTTTATACAATATCTGTGAACACCATACCTCACAGGTGGCTGGGCAAATCCGCTAATAGTGGACTGGTTTGAAGACTATGCGAAGGTGGTGTTCGCTCACTTCGGAGACCGCGTCAAGTTATGGCTGACTATTAATGAACCAGTAATTTTATGTGAAGCTTTCTTTAATGCTGAGGTGTTTCCACCTGCATTTATCAGCCCAGACCTTGGAGTCTACTTGTGCAGTAAACACGTAATGCTTGCCCATGCTAAGGCCTGGCGAGTTTACGACAAACTTCTGAAACCTAAATATCACGGTGAGTCGATAATCAATCTATCAATCTATCAATCTATTTGTATAGGAATCAATCTCTTAATCCATTTATGAATCTATCAATTCACCAATATTTCCATGTATCATTATATCTATGTAGGTATCTATCAATCAAACAGTCTATCAATCCCTCAACCCAGAGAAGTGTTAAGAGAGGATTCAAAAAAATTAATTACTATGCAATAATGTTTGTAGAGGCCAGTAGTACATAACTAATAAGTTTTCTCTCTTTCCAGGAAGAGTCTCGTTAACCACCCACATTACTTGGTTTGAACCTCTAGCTCCAGAGTATGAAGAACTCGCGGAGTTAACCATGCTCAACTTTGTAAGTATTTGTACTTTTTTATAAATGTAGTCAGTAGGTTCTCAGGCGTAGTGCTACGTTATGTTATAGTATGTTACTTTGACTTTGAATTAAACATATACAAGGGTATTTCCCTAATCAGATTTCTGCCTTCTTACTAAAAGTAGGAAAATCATTTTTTCCCGGCCCGATACTGAAACTCCAGGCAAATTGTGTTATTGTAGAAGCATAAATATCAAAGTCAAAGTCAAAGTCAAAGTCAAAATCATTTATTTCAATTACGCCAGAATGGCACCTTTGAACGTCAACAAAAAAAATAATAAGAAGTGAAGCTATTTGCTCATTCCAAGGTGTTGATTCCTATGTAGAAGAACGAGCAAGAAACTCCATAGGTTACTCTTTTTCTATCAGGTTCACAATACAATTTACTAGTTACATAGTTTTGCTGTTTGAATTGTGCGAGAACAATGTAACACTAAAATCCAGTCAAAGTGATAAAAAAAGAAAGTAATCTTAAACTGTCAAACACCAAACGGTCACCGGTGACCGCAACCTATTGTTCTATAATTGTGTCTACAAAACCGGTACTCGACGAGTTAAGGACAATAATACAGTTTGGAGCTGACCAGTCCCAGTTGACGGCGCCCGTTCACGAACATGACACGTACACCAGCACCGCCCAACTCAACGATATTGTAGGGAATCAAGCGATTCACTGTACGCGCCACCGCCAGCATGACAACTCCAAGCTGACACAAATGAATTCTACTAATCTAATTTAATATTAAGTTAATTACAAGGCTCTCACATTTACAATGGTTATCTAAGTTAAACAATATACAATTTAGCAATATGACTGTATTATTTACGATTTCATTAAAACAAGTGTTTTTAGTTATCCTGTGGAGCCGGACTAGCCTGCATCCAAGCATTTTTATCCTCTATATATTTATTAAGTTTGTAATATGCTTGTCTACATAAAGTTTTCTTTATACATAATTTAAATTTGAATTCATTTAGTTGTTGTACATCGCCTGGTATCTTACTATAACATTTAACACAGAATCCCATGAACGACTTACTTACTTTCGCTAATCTCGAAATTGGCTGACTTAATCTATTCTTATGTCTAGTTTGATAGTGGTGTCTGTCCGACACTTTACCAAATAACTGTAGGTTTTTCCTAACATACATAATGTTTTCATAAATAAATTGACATGGAACGAAATATAATTTTAAATGTCTATGTAATAAAATCTGATCGTAAAACTATCATAATATTGTCTGATACTGAATTTTCTTCATCTTCTTTTTTCTTTCCGATTCAGGGTGGAAGATACTCCCATGCAATTTACTCTAAAATAGGGGGATGGCCTCCCGCTTTAGAAAAGGCTTTGGCAGAAGTCAGCTTGAAAAGAGGATACTCCAGGCCTCAGCTCCCACCATTCACACAAGAAGAAATTGAACTTGTGAGAGGTAAAGTTTAAAGAGTCTTGGTTGATATAAGAATATCTATAAAATTTAATCATCAACAGCCTATAAGTACCCACGGCTGAGCAAAGCATCTTCTCACACGCAAAAGGTTTGAGCATTAATCGCCACGCTTGCTCAATGCGGGTTGGCGATTTCAAACTTATAATTCCAAATTATAAGTCCAGGTTTCCTCACGATGTTTTCCTTCACCGTTTGTTGGTAGTATCTAAATAATCTTAGAAAGTACATATAACTCGGAAAGTCACATTGGTACTTGCCATTGGTAGGTTTCGAACCCGCACCGTCATGCATGAGAAGCGGGCGTCTTAATCCCCGGGCCACCACGACACGTTGATTAAAATATAATTTGAGTCAAAAATCTGATACAGTTTTAGCCGAGAATGTTGGAGAACCCTCCTCGGGTTGTGGATGCGGAGTAGAGGACCGTCAGCTATCGACCTATACTGAAATGTAATATAGATTGCTCACTGGCATCCCACTTAGCTTACCCATGACAGTGTTTTCAGCCACAGCCGAAGAATCCCAAGTTAAATTAAATTGAAATTTATACCCAGATCGAAATAACACGCTCTACCTTCTCTACCACCACCTCGTTTGTTCATTATGAACTTTCTTGTTAGTCATAGGATAGTTGCCGTTGTAGACATCTTTAAAAGAATTGACCAACAAAAATGGCGTTCGACCGGTCATATGATGAGAGAAAACATGGAAAAATGGTGCAAAATAGTAACTGATTGGTATCTAAGAGACGATAAACGCAGCAGAGGAAAGCAGTTAAAAAGATGGGAGGACGAACTAAGGCTAACAGCGGGACCCAACTGAAGAAGAGACAGCTAGAGGAGGCCTTTGCCAAAAGGCACACTGAATTAAAAGATAATACTGTAACTTTTTTGTAACAACTCGTAATGTAAAAATTCAGAATAAAGGGCTTTATTATATTATAGTTGCCTAAATTTTGTATTAATGTCCGTCTGGTAGATTAATTTCAAACATTAGACATGCATTTTTTCATTTCGCACAAAATTAAATGCTTTCGACGACATAACAATCTGAAATATCGTGTGACGTCACAATACGCTACATTTTGTAGCACTTAGTGACGTAACGACCTCCCACTCCTAAACTTAACCCCATTTTATCTAAGCATTGCAACTTTGTACGAGAAAATAAAAAAATACGTGTCTCATATTTTTTCGTTATCTAACTGACGGACTAATTAGATTTTTAATTTTTATTTCCTGGCAACTACCCTATTGTAAAAATAGTTGGGGTGGAAAGCATCAACTGTGTATTTATGTTCACAGGAACCTACGACTTCTTTGCTTTGAACCACTACACAAGTCGTCTGATGCGCACTGCTAAAGAAGGAGAAAAGTTCACGGAGTGGCCACTTGGTGATGTTGAAGATCTTAATGGTATCATCGTGAGGAAAGCTGATTGGGCACAAGCTGCCACCTCTTGGTTCTATGTAAGTTTTTAAAATAACACATAAAAATATATTGGTACTTTTACATCTCTAGAACATTATAAACGGAAAAGGCTTTAGGATTTTTTGAAAATAATAGTAAAAATTTCAAATCCGGTTTAGAAAATATTAAAAATTAAATTTCAAGTAATTGAAAATGGAGAAGAAATTCGTAGCTAGTATGTCATTTGACATTTGAAAAGACTCTAACAAATTAGAATTTTTGTCAGAATAAGTCATGGGCAAAAAATTCTCTGAGAAGATTTTGAGGTGCAGTAGTGTCCCCACCAAGATGTAATAAGGGATGCACAAAATCCCCGAAGGCAAATTTATAACATTACATAACATAACATAACACCACGCCTTTTATCCCCAACGGGGTAGGCAGAGGTGTACATTATGCAATGTACGTCGTCCGTCGGGTACAATGTAACACCCACTTTTTACTATTTATTTTATGAGTCCCATATAACAGGGGGTGAGCCTATTGCCATATACCGGGCATAATTCCAGACGCCGTGAGAATTAAAAAAAAAACCCTGCAGTAATACTTTGCCCGACCCGGGAATCAAACCCGAGACCCCTTGCCCGGCAGTCGCACTTGCGACCACGCGGCCAATGAGGCAGTAAAATTTATGTAAAACTCATAATAGTTCTTCATAACAACACTACTTCAATTTCATAGGTAAATCCTGAGGGTATTCGCAAGGGGCTCGTCTGGTTAAAGCAGCAGTATGGCGACTTAGAATTCATGATCACAGAGAACGGCCTAGCAACGAAAGCAGGACTGGACGATCAGGATAGAGTGCAATATTATAGAGATTATTTAGAACAAGTGAGTCATAAGTTTAGAAATAGTAAACCTGGTTTAGACAAATGTGTACAATCAGATGTATTTAATACATTATTGAATTGAAATCAGTAACTTCTAACTGTTAGAATAATTAGACTAGGCTTGCAGTTTTATGTTTATATATTTGGTGGGTCATGCCTAATGACGAATAAATTATTTTACTTTCTTTCTTCCTTTAATAGAATCTTGAAAACAATAATCTTCTATCTGATCAACAATATGGTTTTCGTCGGGGTAAAGGTACTGATGATGCCGTGAGTACTCTTACGGAATATATTACAAGAAATATGGATCAAGGTAAAAAATGTGTCTCGGTATTTTTGGACTTATCGAAGGCCTTTGATACGGTCTCAATTCCAAGACTGCTAAAAAAATTGAACAGAATGGGCATCAGAGACAAGCAACTATCCTTACTATCTGATTATTTATCTGATAGGACACAGTTTATTAGTATTGGTAATCGAGTAATGATTTGCCTGTGACGTACGGTGTGCCTCAGGGTAGAAAGATACTGAGCAAATAATATTGCTAGAACAGTAATTTCCAAAGTTATCCACTTCAGGTAAGAAGAGGCTTTTGCTAAACAGGGAGCCCTTAAAGATTTTTTTATGAGACAAGCCCGCCACAACCTCTTAAAACCGCTGCAACTCCTGTAAGCTAGGATCTACAGTAGATACAACCATGAACACACCGGAACACTGAAGTCCGGCGCGACCCAGGGACATTAATAACTATCATGGTTCCCACAACGAAATGAATTAGAAGAAATTATAAGAGGAAAAGAAACGATAGTTTCTACTCGTAGGCTGTTATTGATGATGATGTTATCTTTAACCTATGTCTAGTTATTGCTAACAAATACCTTTCTAATGTATTTATGTCTGCAGGTTCTACTGGCAATAAACGAGGACGATGTGAATGTGACAGCATACACTGCCTGGACTCTCATGGATAACTACGAGTGGAACAATGGATACACGTTGGTTATCATTATTATAATCATATCATCACGCCTTTTATTCCTGAAGGGGTAGGCAGAGGCGTACAACTACACATTATGGCACTTAATGCTACTGTACCCACTTTTCACCATATATGGTATGAGTCCCATGTAATAGGGGATGAGCCTATTGCCATATACCGGGCACAATTCCGGACTTCGTGCTATTACTGAGTTTTTTCTTAAACCCAGCAATACTTTGTCCGATCCGGGAATCGAACCAGAGACCCCTTGCCTGGCAGTCACACTTACGACCACTCAGACAACAAGGCAGTCAATTTAAGTCAAAACTTATCATTATTATCATAATAGATATTTTAAGGAGTAGCTTTAGTCTTTACCAGTTAAATATTATTCAATTCTTTATAACAACAGCCATTATTATTAAGGGTTTTATTGAAAGCCTTCACATTATCTATCTCATTGGTGATTTCGATAACAGCTATATCAGGTTAAAAATTGCGATCGAAACATTAATTAAATTCACTCGGTGAGTACCGTCATTATAGACACAATTAAAGAACAAAAGGTTGCGGTCACCGGTGTCCTCGCGATGTTTGACAGTTTAATAATACCTGAAATTAGAACTGTGACCGACTACCTTTATAGCAAACAAAACAAGAGGGTAGATGACCAATTTTTATTTTAATGTCCGTCTGGTAGATTATTTAAAAACATTGAACATGATTTTTTTATTTTCTTACGGAAACGAATAGTTTTGAAGATTATTATTATATTGATTTGAACTATCGCATGACGTCTCTTTTGAGTACGATTTATACTCTAAATCTATAATAACGTAGCTACCTTCCACTCCTAAACTTTGATTAGTTTTATCTAAGTATTGTTTTCTTATACGACAAAATAAAAAACATACATGTCTATTATTTTTATTGTCATCATCCTTAATGGGATATTTACTTTTACTCTCTTTCCAGGGTAAAGTTCGGTCTATACGAAGTGAACTTCACAGATCCGGGGCGCAAGCGCACGCCGCGTGCGTCTGCGCATTACTACGCCAACATTATAAGGACACACTCTCTTGAAATACCAACAACGAGTATTCAACTGTAATGTATGAGGAAGGCGACAAAACATGATCATTATTTAAGGAATATTAATTACATAACATCACGCCTTTTATCCCCAAAGGGGTAGGCAGAGGTGCACATTACGGCACTTAATGCCACTGTACAATGTAACACCCACTTTTCACCATTTATGTTACGAGTCCCATGTAATAGGGGGTGAGCCTATTGCCATATTCCGAGCACATTTCCAGGCACCGTGCTACTACTGAGAATAATTTAAAAAAACCTAATAACACTTTGCCCTATCCGGGAATCGAACCCGAAAACCCTTGGCCAGTAGTCGCACTAGCGACCATTCGGTCAACGAGTCAGTCAGAATATTAATACTAATGTACTAATTAATATATGTATGTTAAAATAAAATGATAAAATTAGCACTTTACTGCCTATTATACACTTTTACACCAGTCACCAGAATATCTCCTTGGTCCTATCTTCCCCAAGAACGTAACCATAAGCTTGGCTATTCTGCAACTCTCAAATCGAATTGTCATTGGTTGCAACAAGGGTGCTTACTCTTGAAACCAATCTCAATGCCAATACAATAGGCTTTTTGACAATGTGAAAAATAAACGTCAATTACTGTTAGCAGTTTAAATTAAGAGTTAAAAAATTATTATTTATTAACATAAATTGAAAATAATTATAAATTTATTAAAAAATCTTAGTAAATAAAATTGCATTTTTTAAACTTTTTTCACGTGACGCAAAACGCTCCTGATTGGTCGAGTTTATCATGACGCCATCTGCTTGTAAATACAAAATAACTTTATTTATATGCCAGTCACAGATAATAAAAGAGGCAACAGGCAAGTAACGTCACCGACCTCATTGCAGCGCCATATTGTCAAAGTAGCATTTTGGCACACTATTTAAATATTGAATTTTTAATTCGATGTTTTTCAGCTATTATATACCAGAATTAAAAAAAAAACTACTTTTACTGGATTCCTTAGACTCTACTACATAATGTAAAATGGATTTTAAAATCCTGTCAAATAGCCTACTTCAATCCAATAAAATCTCAATAATTATTCAATGTCAAAACTATACAACCCCAATCGTGGCCGTAGAAATAGCATTCAGAGCTTCTTGAGTTCCAACAGTAGCGCCCATTGCATCCGTATTGCGTGGATATTTAGTGAACGAAATGTATAAACGTATTGAGTTTGGCTTTACATTCCGTACTCTGAATGCTATTTTAACAGCTACAATAGGCATGGCGACTATTTTTTAATTTTTTGTCCGTCTTTTAGATATTTTAAAAATCTTCGATACGTATTTTTTCTTTTTTCTCGTATCCAATAAAACATGTAGATATTTTGAGTTAAAATGACGCGTGACGTCACAATTAGGTACGATTTCTCCGTAAGTGTGACGTCAACACCCCCCACTCCCTAACTTTAATGCGGAATAACTACGTATTATTTTCGTGCGATCTTAATGACGGACTAATTACTTTTTTGATTTTTTTACCCTGTCGACACGCCTATTGGGGTTGTATAATTTTGACATTGAATAATTATTGAGATGTTATTGGATTGAAATTGCATTTTCATTGAGATTGGTCTCAAGAGTAAGCACCCAGATTACATGATGATAGCCAAGCTGCTATACAAGAACATTGAAATCAGTCAGTTCATTTCGGGGATTTTTGCGTACGAACAAACAAAAGACTGATCACCTTGCTATTTTATTTTTTACTCACTAAGCATCTAGACTACATATTTACAACAATAATATGATAATATCACATGTCATAGTTCGTCCTGTATTGTGCCTAAATCCAATGTGTTTGTCTTTATAAGGTTTGAATAGAAGTTCGCTGAGGCTCGAGGAGTGCGTGTACGCAGCGGGTCGTTAAAATCCACCTCGTAAAGTCCAAATTTGTTACTGAAAAAAGAATAGTTTACCATTGTTTTATTTATCTGCTAATAGGCTAGCACTTTGTTACATGATAATTGAAAATAATACGCATTGTAGGGACACATGTAAGCATGTATGGCAGAGTGCAAGGCAAGCAAAAACGTATGAGAGGGTGAGGTATGCAAGGAACGGACAGTAACTGCGCACTGGTCGGAGTGAACGGTTCTTTTGGGGGTTTACGCGAGTCACGAAATATATCCGGTATCCGAACGCCATGTTTCGCTCAACCCCTAGGCTATCGACACTTAAGTATCAAATCTCAAAATCTTCATCGGGAGCTTTGCCCTATTCCCCAATATCTTTCAATTTGGCAACCATTTTCGAAGTTTTACTCTACATGATCGTGTCGAAAATATTACTAAATAGACGTGACAAAATCTTGGCACCACGCACATTTCTTGTGGTGACTCCAGCCACCCACTGTTCACACACTAGACTTCAGAGAAGACAGTGACGTACAGTGTTCATAGAGGTCATGTGATAGTGAACCTTAAAAATAGGAAAACCAACATTAAGTTACGTTCAGCTTTATGGTACCACATTCTTACCTAAGTCCATCCATCCACTCGAAGTTGTCCATCAAAGTCCAAGCGGTATACCCAGTCACATTGACACCGTCCTCTTTCATCGCCAACAAGATCTGGGAAATTACAATCAATAAACTTTCAATAAATAGTTCTTATTTTGTGCTGATAAAATGGCGCTACTGATCTCAAAGATCGCTTTTGTCCAATCAGCTTAACTGTAATAAAGTGACGAACCAATGACTTATATTATTAGCGATTATTCTATTGAGCAATAGACCTAAAGAGACATTAGTGTCTCCAATAACACAAGCACCCTCATTGATTTCTATCATCAGCTAGAAGACATTAACTACTGAATAACAGCACCTCCAATGACCTCTCACCTGTCTCAAGTACTTCCTATAGTAATCAATCCTGTCCTGATCATCCAATCCAGCTTGTGTTGACCGACCATTCTCCGTGACAACGAACTCTATATCTCCATACTGTTGCTTCAACCAGACCAGTTGACGCCTAATACCTTCCGGATGCACCTGGAAGAGGAATCAACAGAATGGTAGTATGTATTACGGAGATCATAGCGTGGACATGAATTTTCCAGTCACATGAGAGCCCATGTTAGACGTCAGTAGACATGAGACAGTTGCTGTAACCGAAGCCGGCTTGGAGGGATGATTATTGGGGTTCATAATTTTATAAACCTAGACAGTACTAATTTTGAATCATAAAACCTCGCCCTTCTTAATCCAAAAGCTCTTCTGTATTGAAAGAAAAAAAGAAAAACCATTCATTACGCCACGACACTCAACAAGAATACAGGTACACATAAAAAGTCATGGTGCGTAGCAGCGCAAAAGTCAATGTATCACATGGATTGTGTCAATGGAGTTTTTTTTATAGCATAAGCCGGTAAACGAGCAGACGGATCACCTGATGGTAAGGAATCGGCGCCGCTCATGGACACTCGAAACACCAAGGCGTTACAAGTGCGTTACCGGCCTTTTGGGAATTTGAGGATTGTGGAGGATTCGGGGATTCGGGAGACGGGAACTAGGGAGGGGGGTAATTGGGCCTCCGTTAACCTCACTCACACGACGAAACACAACGCAAGCGTTGTTTCACGTCGACTTTCTGTGAGGCCGTGGTGTCACTCCGGTCGAGCCGGCCCATTCGTGCCGACGCATGGCTCTCACACACTTAAAACTTAAAAGTTGAACTTATTGGAAAAGTCCACTCTTCACCTGTTTGGAAAACTACTTCCATTTCTACAGGAGACAATACCTTTAGCCACAGCCAGGTATATCCATCGCATTCGATTGTTCCCACTAAGGCATGCTAAGGTGGTTTGCTAAACCAAACCTCCTAAAAATACTATAGTACTTACGAAAAACCAGAATGACAGAGTGGTAGACCAGCTCTCATCTCGTTCCGTTTTAGCATTGAGTTGGATGGCGTCTCCTAAAGGCCAGGGTTCGAAGGTCTCACCTTCCCTCGCTGGGCGGATCAGACGACTAGTGTACTGGTTTAGGGCGTAAAAGTCGAAGGTTCCTGGAGAAAATACGGAGGTTTTAAACATTTATCATCATGATCAGCGTGTAAACTGTCCCACGACTGACGGAGTAAAGCATCCCGTGGAATCCCGGAACGTAGATATACGCGAGACACGATGTCTTTTCTATTGTGTCTCATACGCCGGCAGATAAACGGTTAATTAGTAATTGTTACGCTTGTTTAAGGTGGATTGGATTTACATTAATCATGGTTTTTTTTTAAGGGGGGAAAATCATCGAATGACTGCTCCCGCCTGGGTGAGGCGGGAGGGAGTGTCAGACTCTTACTGACTAAAAACCACCCCGTTCCTTCTCCTGCACGTCGAGCCGGAGCCCCGGTTACCCGTTAGGTTCTCCGCGACACATTAATCATGGTTACCTACAGGACTAAGGTGGCATTTGTCCAGCCGTGGACGTCTTCCGGGTGTTGATAATGATAGCCAGCTATATTCATATTGTTATTCTCAAGTCCAATAACAACTAGGCTATTCTTGAAATGTAGCTTGAATCTATTCTAAATGACGTCGTTGTTTTCCAATAGTCAAAGACACGTAGGCGTATCTGTAACTGCCGATTCGAATTTTTATAGTGAGCTCGATTGCATTTTCGCCCGTCATTGGTCGAGATAACATGGCGGACCGCGATTGAGTTCACTTCGACCTTTTGATTTAAAGTTACAGATCTTTGACCCTAAGAAAAAAAATCGATGTCATTTAATTATGATCAAAACTTCAAATTCTAGAGTTTATATTTTGGTTTGTTCTTACTTTGTTTTGTTTTGTTATCTACTGCTTTTACCTCTAACATATTCAATCTCCTTTTGAGTAAATGGTGGAAGTATTGGCTTGGAGTACCCTTGCTTCGAGTAATAGTCTCCCAGCGCCTTCTCCAATGCTGGGGGCCAACCACCGACCTTGGAATAAATCGGATGAGCGTATTTCCCGACCTGGAACACACACAAAAGATGTAAAAAATCTCTTATTCTGTATGATTTAGGTGATTCCTCATTGTCACACATCAGATTGAGAAACATCAGGTATTGTTTTTATAATAAAACTTTCGTAAGGTATACTAAATTAATTATCATGTTTTACGCCGTGGAATGCTGCTCATGAATGAGCCCCTAGGATGACTTGAAACAAGTCGAGTTCCTCGTCAAACAGTTACGTGAAGAAGCCGAAAACATAATTATTAACATTAGTTATTCTATTTATTGCTAAATTAGAAAATAGCTCCCATTGCTTACGTACACAGTTCTCTCTCGCTAATTCTGCCAGTTCAGCATCGGCTGGCGACAGTGGTTCAAACCAAATGTGATGATTAGCCAGCGATACCTTACCTGTAAATAGATAAATGAATGTCTGTCGGGCAAGGGGTCTCGGGTTCAATTCCCACATCGCGCAAAGTACTACTGGGTTTTTATAAATTCTCAGTAGTAACACGGAGTTTGGAATTGTGCCCGGTATATAGCAATAGGCTTACCCCCTATTACATGGGACTCATAACATAAATAGTGAAAAGTAGGTTTTACATTGTACAGTGGCATAATGTACACCTCTGCCTACTCCTTCGGGGATAAAAGGCGTGACGTTATGTAAATAGATTCATTTTTCACCATGTGAGTTTCTTAACATGTCAATTTGATTATGTCATAATCATTTATGTAACATCGCGCCTTTTACTACCCAAACGGTAGTTTCTACGGACATCAACTTTTACACCATTTAAATTATGAGTTCCTTATAATAGGGGATGAGCCTATTGCCATGCATCGAGCATAATTATAATTAATCCAGATTTCGTGCTAATTATAACATTTCTCCAAACATCTCACCCGCATTCGGGAATAAAAGTCAAAACCGCTTGGTCGGCTTATTACCTCAAAACACTCATGAAATATTTGCCAACTCACCATGATACTTAGGTCTAAACTCTTCATCGTATAGCCTATAAGCCTTAGCGTGAGCCATCACCACGTTCTTAGAGCACAAGTGAGCTCCAACTTCTGGGCTCATAATGGGAGGAGCCAGGATGCCAGAGCTGTAAACCACGTCGCAGATGATCAGGGGCTCGTTGATGGTGATCCACCACCTCACACGGTCACCGAAAAGGGTGTAAGCGACCCTTGCGTAGTCGACAAACCAGTCGGCGACGAGAGGGTTTGTCCAGCCACCTGAAAGGATGAAGCAAAAACGTCTGTAGAAGGAGTAGGTACAAAACTATCATCATCATCTATTAACATCAGACGTATGAGTCGCCAGAAGTGTTAGTTATTATATAACTAATTAATTAACGACGCCATTATTTCCAGCTAAACTAAGAATGTTGATTTTGGAAATACGCATCAAAACTTTATCTTCCTCCTTTTCAAACAATTATAACCACTTTGTTTAAACTGTCAAACCCCGCTTTCACCGGTGACCGCAACCTATTGTTCTTTAATTGTGTCTATAATGACGATATTCAAAGGGTTAAAAGATGAATTTAAGTCCCTGGACCAGTTAACGTACCTAATCAAATATCTGGTAATAACCTGGGTGTCTTCAAGGCTCGAGTGAAGAGGTTGCTTATGGGACGACGTGCTCCATCGTAGACTGCATCATCGCTTACCATCAGGTGAGGTAGTGGTGAAACGTCGACCTAAAAAATAAATCTTTTTATCTGATTAATCTCACCTAAATCTTGTAGACTTTGCGGCAAATCCCAGTGGTATAAAGTAACGAAAGGCTCGATCCCCTTCTCCAGTAGACCATCGATCAGGTTGTTGTAGTAGTTCTTGCCATCCTCGCTGATATGGTTAGGAAAACCAGACGGGAGCAGACGAGGCCAGGATATTGATAACCTGCAAGGTGGATAAAAATGAAACTGAGTATCGCAAACTCGAACACTTGACCAGATTATTTTACTTATGCTTTTCATGCATTTTTTTATGGGATCGGGTCACCTGATTGTACGCATTCGACGCCGCCATTGAACACCCGCATCATTGGTGATGGAGAGGGGAGTTCAGGAGAGAAAAACGATGCCCACCTTTTACATGTTAAGAATTTTGCTATATTTGGGGATTGAGCTAGCACGGCGAAATGCTATGCACGTTGGTTTTCGGTGTGAACATGATATATCACTCCAGTTGAGCCGGCCCATTCCTGCCGAAATATGTCTCTAGAAAAACAGACACGTATAAGTCTTACCTATAGAATTGCAATCCAAGTTCTTTAGCCATTTCGATGTCTCTCCTCCACAGGTGGTAGGAGTCGCAAGCCACGTCTCCATTGGTCAGATCTGTTATCATCTCGGGATGTTCATGGCTTAAACGATCCCATACGCTTTCTCCTTTGTCTACAGTGAAAACCATAACGTTTTTAACCTTGGTATACTTAAGACACCCATATTTCACAAAGTTTTACATGCTCTTAATTCGGATAGCCAGCTAAATACTTGGCAGCAAAGTAAATTGCCTTTTAGGTCTTACACGTAAAGGAAAGTTTTCGTTATGAAAGCAAACATTTCAAATCATCGCAATTTAAAAATGTTTAATAAAAACTCGTAGGTTGAACTCAAGCATACTGAAGACTAGCTATCCTGATGGACTTACCACTGGCATTCCACCCTCCTTCGACCTGATAAGCTGCAGTGGCCGCTCCCCATAAGAATCCAGGTGGAAACGTCAAGTCCTCAACACATGATGTCACTGCTAGCACAGTGCTGAAAACAAAATATTTGATGAACTTCTAACACTTAGGTACCTTGCTTACATTGATTGAGTTCGTCAACTAGAAAGTGCGAAGTCCATAGATAATCACATTGATAATAATCAATTGATGCCCCGACAAACAAATACCCTGATTAGCCTAGATATCGATAAATAAAACTACCAAAACATTCTTAGTCATCATTCCTATCATTATGTTACTACTGAATAGTCCTAAATAATGTATTGTAGTTAGTCTAGCTAGACTTCACCTAGCGTCACTAACCTTAGTGATGGACGGAGCGAATCTTTGTGTGTTCCACAAATTGTTGTTAGGATGTCATGTATATGTGAACTTGTATGTTTGTAAACGCACCGGACACAGGAGAAAATCCTACTGTGGGGCAACATTAAAAAAATGAAATATTCTACAAGGGCCCGAATTAATGTGAGCCCTTGGGCCCCAGTCGTAGTCTAAGACGACCCTGGCTGTTGATGATCATAGTTAATTGATTAACTACATTAGACATGAAGCCAATAGGGTAGATGTCTAATTTTCATTTTAATGTCCGTCTGGTAGATCTTTGTAAATCATTCAAATCAAATCAAATCAAAATCATTTATTCATTACATTTTGGGTAAATAATTATGATCACAGTATTAAGTTAGTACCACCAAAATCTGCCCTCACAGGCGTATGAAATATTGTTAGGCTAAGTCAATAAAGTTATTATAACAAAAAAAGAAAATCAAAATGTCATAGTATAATACATTAAAATGTCAGTGCTTAAATAAATAAAAGTTAAACTTATGAATGTCCTACAAATTACCGTCATTAAAGAAGTCATTTACATTATAATAACATTTCTTGGATAATACGGATTTTAATTTATTTTTGAATATACTAATATTGAATTGTTTTATGTCGTTTGGGATTTTATTGTATATTTTTGGCGCCATACATAAAAGACTCTTTACACAAGTATTTTTATTTTCTTACAAAAACGAATACTTTTGACGATATGTTAATTTGAAAAGTCGCGTGATGTCACTTCTATGCACATTTTATACGTAGAAAAGACGTTTTAGCCCCCACTCCTAAACTTTGATTTGTTTTATTATACGACAAAATAAAAAAAATACGTGTACTATTTTTTTATTACCTAACTTACGGCCTAATTAGTTTTTTAATTTTCATACCATATCATCATCCCAATTGGTAAAAGCGAGCGTTACATTCATAGTGTGCACCTTTGCCTATCCTTTAAAAAATACATATTTTATAATTTTATGTAGGTATGCATGTTTTTTTTACAGGACCCCACGTGACTACAAGTTGGATTAAGATTTTAAGATATATATACAAATAAATTAGAATAACGTGGGTGTAAGTAGGCACTTATCTTTATCGGATAAATTTTATCAACATCTTAAAAAAACATTGAAGTGAAGTACTTAGGTATCTATGCATTGTATGTGTTATGTGCACAATTCAAGTATGGCCGGATCAAAGGTGATGATTGTCGAAAAAGCGGCATTGGTTCAGTAGTATATCGCAAAGGTATCCGATAATTGTCTGCCTGAAGGGGGCGAGCTACCCTCCACGCTGTCTGCAGACCAGGGTGCTTACTCTAGAAACCAATCGCAATGCCAATGCAATTTCAATCTAATAAAATCTCAATAATTATTCAATGTCAAAACTATACAACCCCTATCGTAGCTGTTAAAATAGCATTCAGAGTACGGAATATAAAGCCAAACTCAATACCATTTAGTTCAATCAATATCCACGCAATACGGATGCAATGGGCGCTAGTGTTGCAACTCAAGAGTACGAAATTTCACAATACCAATGTCGATCGATCGGAATTGGATTCAAGAGTAAGCCCCAGTGCTTAGGGTTGCCAGAGATCATCGCACGATCTCCGACGCCCAGAGTATCTACTGCGGCGGCTGCATGGGGCGTGGACGTGAGAAGGTTTGTTCCGTCACGCTCCCCACCTCCTTCTTAAACTGTCAAACACCAAGCGTATTGTTCTATAATTGTGTCTATAATGACGGTACTCGACGAGTTAACTAGCATGATTCCTTTGCAGAAGGAGGAGACGGCATCATAGCCCCCCTCGCTCCACCCCATGGCCTGAACCATCGCCGATCACTTCCCTGAAAACCCGATAGTGTCAAAACTTGCTGAACATACCGCAACCATGTGCGTGACCTCCGAGTATGAAGGATGACACCGGGGCATTTCTTCCTGTCAAATCAGTAATAGTTACCTCCCGGAACTCCCGTGTCCGGTAAGCACCTGTGTCAGACGGTAGAATCAATTTGTTAGCCGACCACCATATTTATATCGGGCACAGCTACGTATATCGAAAAACTCCAATTCGTTTAGGACACCCGTCAAATAGACCTCGAAACCCCTTTACTTAACACTCTCACTTGCGATTGCGACCCGTACACTAACGAAGCAGGATTGTTTTTTTCAAAAAAACCAGTACAAATCTTACCACAAAACAACAATGCTCTTCCGATTCATTGTCGCTAGGTACTGAACAAGAAATTGTTTTAGAAGTACAATATAACTATAACTAGATAGTACAAATTGTTAACACATATTGTTATCAATTTTATCTCACCATTCAAAAACAATAACTTATTTTCTCGATAAACGTTGACATTATGATAAAATAAAAGATAGGTACTTTATTATTTTGTTTTTACACACAAATTCACGCGTAAGTAACACATAACAAAGATAAAAGACATTGGCCCTCGCTTGGGGGCTTCTCATTTTTTAAGCTAACAAGGAAGGGCCAAGGCCTCTCGCCACTTCCGTCCACAGTTCCCCCACGACTTTGACGATGTCATATATAGGTATATATTTAGTAGGAAGCCTACCCACAATACGTCTTCCGATCCGCGGCCGCCACTAATCGTAATTAGGTGTAGGTACGAAATAATAGCAGTTCCTAATAATTCACGATTAATGTTAATGGCCGCGTGCTTCTATACATACTGGACAGACTATTTATAGACTTACCTATGTCCAGGGTATTTACTGATTTTGTTAATAGGACCAGAGCCAAAGATTGTTTTGTAATTATCCTTTGATTCTTGAGTTCTTTACCCTTTCGTTGTTGTTGCCCACAACGGCAATTTCATCGATCAGACATTTGCAGTAATCAGAGACCACTAAAACGCACGAACTAGGTTTATTGTAGAGATAATTAATCCTCAAACGTAGATTACAAAGAACAAGATCGAGATATTGGAACTTTCACCTTGAAAACTCATTGAGTTAATACGCTAGTAATGATAGTTCAATGTGAAAACTACATAATTTACAGTTCGGATTTTGGATATGGAACCCTATAGACATGAGTATTACTTTATTGAGCATACCAAACCCTAAAATTTTCTGTTCCTAAAATGCTGAAATATCATAAGCACTGTCATAAATGAAGAAGCGTACTACAAACAAATAACATACCTACTTATTTGTTAACTAGGTACTTACTAGGTACATACATTATCATAATAAAAGGTATCAACTAGATAAATTAATCTCTAAATACATAGTCGTCATCATCACACTACATTTTTCATGTTTTGATAAGTAAGGTAAGATAGATGCTTTGAATGTAAAATAACTGTAATTCTGTCTTTACGGATGTATGCTATGTTATTATGATATTAGTGACTTTATAGTAGATAGTAAAGAAAAATATTTTGGTCCGTTTTGAAAACTTTATATTTCCGAACGTTTGCTTTTTTTCTACATAGATTTATAAATATAACATAGATGTCTGGCTATTGTCTACGGGTAGAATTTAGGATCCATCTTGACGGTAAATTCATAAACATACTGTTGTTTCTTTTTTACTTATGTCTCTTTGCTTATGCAGAAAGAGACAACACATTATTGTCATTCTGGCCATAATTTTTTGACGTCATCAGAAAAACCTAGTTGTGCCGAATTGGCCATCTTAGTCCCTGTTATCAGTGCATGTCAGTGGTACATCAGCTGTCAAAGCATTGGTCAACAATATTTTGTTACGAAAATTTGTAGAATTCCTGTTGTTTTTGTGCGTGGTAAACAAAGAAATTATTGGTTAGTGAGAAGAACTATGCCCGGGTGCAGTGTTATTGGATGTAGCACTAAAAATATTACTAAACCGGCAGGTGTAACATTACATCGGTAAGTACTGTTATTTTTCATTAAAATATCTCTGTTTTTCAAACTATTCAAGTGTGGTTGCTGCAAATTGACTAAATACAATACTTTTCTAACTAATGCAGCCGCCATTACGGGTGACCAAGTGAAGTTTATGTAGGCACGATTTTTTCCTAGTTGTTTCTTATCCATACTCTTATCATATCAGTGTTTTTCTATCCAATTTCTGAACTATCACACTATGAACATGATACTGTCATGATGATATGAACATGATACTGTCACTGTCAAAGTCACATGGTACAGGTTGTTCTTCGTATTGTGCTGTTTTGAGGTTATGTTAACCAAAATAACACGGTGATTTTGAGTTATATCAAATAGTGAAATGAGTAAGAAACTTAATAATATGAAATGGGAGTCCGTCGCACTGGATGGGTTTCCAACGTCCATGACAGACAAATTTCAAGGATTCGTGGGTTTAGAGGAATGCACAGTTTATAGTTTTGATAAGGAAGGCAAGCGATCCAAAAAGGTTTGTTTATTTCTGTATTATAACTTTTTTGTATTATTATATGAATGGGAGTTTACTGTAAATATTTGTAGAGTTAAAAAAAGCATCTTGTATCAGTAGGAAAGTTGTATTTTATTTATATTTTAAAGTTACAAGTTATGGTGCAATATTTTTATTGAACACATGAAATCGTAAATATATAACCACAAGTTGAATCAATTCAATATAATATATAAAACAGTTAATGAATATTGTACATATATTGATAACAAAATATTTGTAAACATGTCTCCGGGAATATATTCTTCTTTTTGTGTTGAATTGAACCTTGCGATTTTTTGTCATCTGTCCTCTTGACTACAATCCTTAACTTCAAATAGAATGCATTATCATGTATGCTTGTGTTCACATTACCTATGTTTTTAAACCATTGTAAATATCCTTTAGTTTTTGATCTATGAAAAACTTTTTAACTTAAATTATACTTACTTTACCAAAACTTCCTAAAGTCAAAGTCTAATGATTTTGACTTTTGAAAATAAACTAAAATTAAATTTTCGAAGTACTCTACTTGCTCATTCCAAGTTGTAGATTCCTATGGAGAAAAATGCCCAAGAAACTCCATAGATAACTCTTTTCCAATCAGGTTCACAATACAATTCTCTAGTTTCATAGTTTTGTTGGTTTGATTGTGCAAGAACAATGTAACACCAAAATCCAGTCAAAGAGTCCAACTCTATGTTATCCTATTGATTAACTCAAAGGTACGTAATTTATATTTACAGAACAAAAAGCAAGATAAACTAGCCCAAAAAAGAGAACAGAAGAAGCGAAAATCTTCGGAAAGTGAAACCAAAGAGGTTCCAAGTAAAAAAGTTAAACTAGACAATGGTTTCATAGTAGAACCATGTGATAACACAGAACCATCACTAGCGAACAGTAAACAAAAAAGAAATAAAATTAAAAAGAAGAAAAATAAAAAAGCTAAACAATTAAATAATAACATTAATACTGGTGACACTATCGAGGATGATAAAAAGAATGGCAATACTGAAGAAGTGGCAAAGAAAAAGAAACCTAAAAACAAAAAGAAAAAAGTTAAAGAGATGGCTGGCACCGAAAAAGTAGTTAAAAAGGTAAAACAGAGATTGGGTGATCTTCCGGAGTCTACATCGGAATTAACTCCTGAAGATATGCTGACTTGGGCAGAGTTTAAGTTGCAAGAGCCTATAATTAAAGCTTTGACTGAACTGGGATTCAAACAGCCGACTAAGATACAACAGTTGACGCTACCAGCTGCTATTCATGGTAAATATTATTTTATTCTTAACATTTTATAATTTCAATGTATAAATTGTATCACGGTGCATTCATATAAGTCAACCACTCTCCAACTATGATCGCATATCGCATTTTCAGATCTTCTACCGAATTTACGAAAAAACAAAGCTAAGGCGGTCGCCTTAGCTTTGTATCAGGTTCAATTCCCCGAGTTATGTCCTTTTCTCTTTTGAAAAAACCTGATAATTGAAATTAATCAATGAAAAGTGTAATTATACTTATAAGCATCCCTGCTTTATACCAGTAAATTTATTTATAAAACACCTTATTCGTAATCTGCAGGGCGTAGAGACATCCTTGGCGCAGCAGAAACAGGCAGCGGCAAAACCCTAGCCTTTGGCCTGCCAATTTTATGCGGTATCCTAAAACTAAAAGAAAAGGCCGAGCTAAAAGGTATAGATGTGTATGACGTTCTATATAGAAAATCAGCTCATAAGAAAAAAGAAGTACCAAAAGAAAAAAAGCAGAAATTCGAACGAAAAGACCGAAAAGAGAATAAAAAGCACATTGTGCCAGAAGAGAAAGTTAAGGAGTCTTCTGAAGATGGGTATAGTAGTGGAAAAGAGAGTGATGAAGAAGTAACAAAGAAAGTAGGAGAAGAAACAAAGAATGTAGAAGAAGACTATTTAGAAGAATATGATGTTCCTATAAGAAAAAGGGATAATTCTGCTGATGAAGGGAATGAGAGCGATGAGAATAATTATATACATTTGTCTGATATGTTGGACTCTGATGATCTGGCTGATAGCAGTGATGATGAAGAGGGTAGTGAAGTTAACGATGATGAAGATGAGGATGGGAACAGTGGTGATGAATTAGGTGCAGATGATGATGACGATGTTGAAAGTGGAGATGATGAAATTGATGATGATGGAAGCGGGGATGATGAAGATTTAGAGGAAGAAGAAAATGATGATGGTGGTGAAGTTAATGAGGATGAACAAGGTAACGTCTTTAATTTTAGTAGAAGTAGTTTTCCTAGATATTGTGTATTTTTTGTTTTTATTTACATTGGAATATTTATCTGCTGATTACGTCGTTAATGAAGTAGTCACTAATGCAACTGTCGGCTAAACGATTTCGAGTTTCGCCCTCGGTTCGGGCAAAACATCGTTGAATAAATTCGTTTTTCAATAATAGTCCAATATTGCTATGTTACTATTACTATTAATATAGTGGAAAAGAAATGCAATATGGACATTACCATACTGTTTATTCACTATTACGATGATTTTCTATTTTTCGAATATTATATTTTTTCCGCCCATTTTCTATTTAACCCTAAGGTTGACTGGGAGAGAATGCCATATGGCATTAATGTCCGCCGTATGTACTAATACTTGCTTCTGTGTATGTACATTAAAGTTTAAAGAAATAAATATACGCCATGAAATCTATTTCCGATTAAAATGGTTCTGTTTTAATAATACAATAGCTTTACAAAGAAATAAAATGGTTAAAACAAAAAATAACTGGTGAACCATTGCAATAAGCAAACTTCGAAAATGCATGAGAACTCATAGTACATTATCAAAACATCAAGCCGTGTATTTCTCGACGAGGTTTTTCTCGTCA